CAATTTGTTATAGAATTGTTATTTCGGTACGTTTTTCCATTCAGTCCTTGTCTCTTTCTTAAGTTGTGCAGGGCCCGGTTTCCCGATAGCGATGGAACTTAGGTTTACGAGTGTTTTTTAACGAGGCATCTTTCCTACAACAGCCAAAGATGTAACATACATTTCCCAGAACACCACTCAGAGAACAGTTGCTAAGTGTGTGATGTAACATGCGTTTCCCAGAACACCACTCAGAGAACAGTTGCTAAGTGTGTGATGTAACATACGTTTCCCAGAACACCACTCAGAGAACAGTTGCTAAGTGTGTGATGTAACATACGTTTCCCAGAACACCACTCAGAGAACAGTTGCTAAGTGTGTGATGTAACATACGTTTCCCAGAACACCACTCAGAGAACAGTTGCTAAGTGTGTGATGTAACATACGTTTCCCAGAACACCACTCAGAGAACAGTTGCTAAGTGTGTGATGTAACATACGTTTCCCAGAACACCACTCAGAGAACAGTTGCTAAGTGTGTGATGTAACATGCGTTTCCCAGAACACCACTCAGAGAACAGTTGCTAAGTGTGTGATGTAACATACGTTTCCCAGAACACCACTCAGAGAACAGTTGCTAAGTGTGTGATGTAACATACGTTTCCCAGAACACCACTCAGAGAACAGTTGCTAAGTGTGTGATGTAACATACGTTTCCCAGAACACCACTCAGAGAACAGTTGCTAAGTGTGTGATGTAACATGCGTTTCCCAGAACACCACTCAGAGAACAGTTGCTAAGTGTGTGATGTAACATACGTTTCCCAGAACACCACTCAGAGAACAGTTGCTAAGTGTGTGATGTAACATACGTTTCCCAGAACACCACTCAGAGAACAGTTGCTAAGTGTGTTGTTGGAGCATGTAGATACTGATAGGATGGAGAGAAATGAAGGGCTGTTCTCAGATCAGCTTTCTCAATTCAAATCTTACCTTAACATTAGAATTATTCCACAATACTGACGACGGATCAGCTCCTAGAGAGATATTATCACCTATGGCTGCAAATATTGAGGCGGCTTATTCTAATGCTTATAGCAGCGGTGCGTGGGTAAAATGACTGGGGAAGCCAAGCCAGGAAAGAATAGCCAGATTACAACCTATGTGTTGTGATAATTGCGTTGTTTGCTCTATAACCTGGTAGTTCATATGCCTTGCCACCGTGATATATAGGCCTAAGGCCGAGACAATAAGAAGACACAGTGGCAGAATAAATTCAACCACACCTGTGTTTCATCACAAAACCGGAGAGCAACATCTCTCCGATGAAGTCCACACAAAACATATTGCATGTAACAAACAGTCACATGACCTACAGCATGGTCAAGCAAGTTAATGTTTCAGACATTTTCGGACCACTAAAACATCTGATTTAGAACCATGGAGCAATAGGCTAACACAAGACAGCATCCAGATAGATGGGCAACACAGGCAGAGACAGAAGGGGGCGCTGTTTCGCTCGCTCGCATGCTTTCTCCGGTGAGATACATTCAGCCTCTTGCGAATTGAAGGAGAATTATGGAAAACAGAAAAAATACTTATTTTCTACGTAAATTTTTGGGGAAAGGCTGGCTTCCCTTGGCCTCCATCAATACGCGCCACTGAATGCTCACCAATAAAAATGAACATGATTTGGCCCGTTCATAGCGCACATTAGGCTACACATCATTAAATATATTGAGACAAATTACAGACGGTAGCCTACAGGTAGCAAAATAGAACTCAATTTATTGAACATGAAATGTTATCAATATGAATGAAATAGGCCTATAGCCTATATTTACACTGAGTGTACAAAACATTAAGAACACCTGCTCTTTCAATGACAGACTGACCAGGTGAATTCAGATGAACGCTATGGTGCCTTATTTATGTCACTTGTTAAATCCACTTCAATCAGTGTAGATGAAGGGGAGGAGACAGGTTAAAGAAGGATTTTTTTGCATCAAGACAATTGAGACATGGATTGTGTATGTGTGCCATTCAGAGGGTGAATGGGCAAGACAACAGATTTAAGGGCCTTTGAATGGGGTATGGTAGTAGGTGCCAGCCGCACCGGTTTGTGTCAAGAACTGCAACACTGCTTGGTTTTTCACACTCAACAATTTTCCGTGTGTATCAAGAATGGTCCACCACCCAAGGACATCTAGCCAACTTGACACAACTGTGGGAAGCATTGGAGTCAACATGGGCCAGCATCCCTGTGGAACGCTTTCGGCACCTTGCAGAGTCCATCTCCCGGACCCCCGATGAATTGAGCAACTCAATATTAGGAAGATGTTTCTAATGTTTTGTACACTCAGTGAATATTTTAATGCAGTCATTTCAGGTTTCATTTGAAGCATCTCTTCGTCATTTGTTTGTATCAATTGCAAAGACATTGACAACTTTTTATTTGTTGTAGTCAACTTTGTTCTGAAGTTATCGGGAGTCACTGAGAGACGGATAAACCATGTGATTCTATGTTTAGCGGAGATCTTCTGTGTATAATGTGACGCGGGAGGGCAAAAAACCCATCTAACGACACATTTACCTGTTAGCCGTTAGATTACGAGGGTTTTGAAGTGCAACGTTAATAACGATGGTTTTGGGAAAAAGCTCTGAGATTTAACGATGCTCCTACGAAGGTTCTAACAATGAATTTAGCTTTAAGATGCTTTTGGGAAACCTGGTCCAGCTTGAAAGCTCTTTAATGAGAATCCTTAGTGCTCTTCATCTTGATAATTGCTACAATACCTCTTATAGCTTCACGTATCCCCGCCTTTGATGTTTTTGATCGGCTCTAACCTCTCCTCCTTAATGACGTTTCATCACTCGATCCACGTCTCTCTCTGCCCCGAGGCTCCATCATGAGTCTCTCCTGGCTTTCAATCTGATCGTTGACAATCCAGCATGGATTCCTCCTCACATCCTACTAAACACAATCCCATCCCTCCTTAATCTGTGACCACAAGTAAGGTTGGTCAGAGTCATAGTACACGAGAGACCTACATAAGATAAACTGGCCTTCATGTGTCATCATGACTCTCTCCTTGTCTACTGTTGACTGGGTTATTATTGTCAGTCCAGATGAGCGCCAGTGTTTACCACTTACCATGATGAGGCCTTTGTGAGTGTAAGTACTGCTGGTAATCAATGCCCAGAGTGGAGATTCCTCTTGATTATGTAAACACTTCAAATAAAACCTTATTAAAAATATGGATCTGCCCACAGCAAAAAGCTCAGTCAGTGGAATTAAAGACATACTCCGGGAACTTTGGTGACTTCTACTTTTTTGTAGTTCATACATGGATAATCTATCAACAGAATTACTGTTTTACCTCAATTAGCCACGAAATCCCAAGTTTTTCTGGAAGCTGTGCTGCGCCATTTTCCCTGAATTTTCCCCCACGTGGGCCAGCCCCCTAGCAATTTAAGTTCTAGCCAATGAGCTTCAGCCCCTCTCCATTTGACTACTGACAGCTAGGAAGATGCACACACAGCAGAGCGAGAGAGTGAGCAATGACGTGGTGGACATATCCGCACAGGTAGTGCAATGTTCGGGGACCACTTTTGGCTTATGAGCGCTACTTTCAGAGCTACTGGCTAAAAAGTATACAAAAGTACCGGAGAATCTCTTTAAGGCTAAATGTTCTAATGCTTCCTATGCAAGCTGTTATCAATAGATTTTTTCCTTGTTTCCTGTAAAATAATTTAACTACAAAATGTTAAGAGAAAAGTAAAGTGTTTTTTCATACACTGCTTATCGGTTGTTAAAGTGTAACTAGGACAACTTCCTATAATAATAATAATAATAATAATCTTTCCAATTTATGTCTGTGAGCTTCAAATAATAGTATTTTTGTACTATTCTTTTGTGCAGTTCACTTGAACCTGTTGCTGATGGATCAAAAAAGGAATCTTACTGTTTTGTTCTATACAGAAGTCTACTATTTAATAAGGAGATGCATTATACTACCTGCTCTTTGAGTCCATCGTTTCCTGCTCCTCAGTAGCTGGTGTTGGGGAGGTTGTGGTGGTGGTGGAGGCCCTGGCTGGGTTTGGCTGGGCCAGCACAGTCTCAGCCTCACAGACAGATGCAGAGTGGGCTGGTGTCACTGTGGAGCGTCTGGAAGGATGCCTCCTCCCTCCAGCAGAGCCTTCTAGCTATGCTTCTCTCTCTCTCTCCTCTCTCTCTCTCTCTCTCTCTGTCTCTCTGTCTCTCTGTCTCTCTGTCTCTCTGTCTCTCTGTCTCTGTCTCTGTCTCTGTCTCTCTCCCTCTGTTTCTCTCTCTCTCTGTCTCTGTCTCTCTCTCTCTCTCCTCATTGTGTTAGTCAGAAAATAACTTACTCACCAAGTGATAATGAGCCTGAGACATGATGAGGATCCCCAGTCCTCGTCCCTCCTGCTGAGGCTGCCTGCTCACTGTGTGTGTGTGTGTGGGAGGGTGTGTTCGGACTGTGTTTTGACAGTGTAGTCAGTCAGGTGTTGATAAGTTTATGTGTATATCTTTAACCTCAGCAGGAGATGTGGAATGGGACAACTAAATCAATCCCAATGGGGCTCTCATTCTGTGTCGACATGACGTCTCCAAAATAGACGTGCACTGTTAAACGCTTGTATGGTGTATTTCTTTCCATTTCTTCAGAAACAGCATGGCTCTCACAGGCAGCATAAGGGATTACATGTCATTGTGTAGGAGGATAGGTGCTGAAGTTAAGAACCTTACCTAAGACAACACAGGATTTGAACCAGCATTTATCATCTTCAGTCTTCAGTCCAGTCCGTTTTACTCTGTCTTGCAGTTCAGTGCCGCATGAACTTAGTATTTTAGGAAGTGAACGTGTTACTTCGGTGTGTCTGGTTTCATGCTCCTTCTCTCTCTCTCGCTCTCGCTCCTCCCACCCCACGCTGTTGCCCCTAACAGGTGAGCGCCTCGACCTGAGCCAATCCCCTGGGAACAGCAGCACCGGTTGCCGTGGAGATGGACATGAAGGAGCGTCCGCACCGCTCCCTGACCCGGGGCCGCTGCAGGAAGGACTTCCACCACGCCACGGCATCCCTGCAGCCTGAGGAGTGTCGTGTGGCCACCCAGAAGTCCTACAGCTCCAGCGAGACGCTTAAGGCCTACGACCGCGAAACGCACCTGCACTACGGGGGCTGCGTGGCTGAGCTGGTGCGCCACGAACACCAGGAGTACGTCCGCCAAGGTGAGCTCCACGTCTCTGTTTCTGTGGTTGTCTCCACTGACCTGGGATTTTTTTCAATACATTCCTCCCATTTCACAGGGTCTTCCTATTAGCCGCTTGTCAGAGACCGCAGCGTGTGTTGTTGATAATGGTTCACTAAAGGGAACCTCCCACGGTCTGTGTCATGATGCGGGTCTCTCTTTTCAATCACCTGCGCTCCACGCTCTCCAAACCCCAGACTCACCTGGTCATCTGTAGCACTGTAGGATTTCACTCTACACAGGGATGAGGTTTTTTTTTTGGGGGGGGGGGGGGGGGGGGGAGAAGTGATGGAGGGGAGTTTTAGGTTCTTTTCAGTTAATAGCGCCAGTCCAACCTTGCTTTGGGTGTCCACAGGGTGTGGATTATTCATTCTTCCTTCACGGGGTTGGACAAGCAATGACCCTTAACATTCTCTCTCAGAATATTCAGTAGCTAACTGCACCCTTTCTTATTCAATTTCACAGGATACTGAAACCCATGTATGGAACGCCATTTGGGTCATGCAAAAACAATTGCAAAAAGGCTTTTAACATTCCCGTCAGTTTGTCAATTAAAAACTGGGTGACAGATGCTGCTTAGATCGGATCCATACTAAAGCCCATCAATATACATTTGAGCATGAAACCGTAATGACAGGTTGGGCCTGCTGCTACGTTGTAAAACATTATTGTATGCCAGTGGTCACCAACCGTTCGATCGCGATCAATTGCCAAGACTTTCCTAGTCAATCACCTTTTTTTTATTTTTTATTTTTTGTCCAACGATAAAGCCTTGACATCCTATTTTTTTATTAGTTTGACACAGTTTGCGGTATGTGCACTTGATTTAGCTGCCCTGCATGCTGGGTAGTCGGAGTATTCCCATTTTGAACCATTTCATGTGTCTAGAGGTACAAACTTTGTGTCTTTCTAATATTTCACGTTCTCTGGTCATACGTGGTTATAGAATATATAAGAAAGATAGAAATGCAAATCAGGGAGGTGTTGTAGAAACATCTCAAGGATGATCAACGGAAACAGGATGCACCTGAGCTCAATTTAGAGTCTCATAGCAAAGGGTCTGAATACTTATGTAAATATAATATTTCCGTTTTTAATGTTTTATAAATTTGCAGAAATTTCTAAAAACCTGTTTTGCTTTGTCATTATTGGGTATTATGTATAGATTGATGAGAAGAAAAAAAACAATTTAAACCATTTTAGAATAAGGCTGTAGCGTAACAAAATGTGGAAAAAGTCAAGGGGTCTGAATACTTTCCGAATGCACTGTATTATGTCATGTTTCTTGTGGACCCCAGCAAGGTTATTAGGGTCTGGGAGGCGAGATAAGCTACGTCATGCACAGGCTGGGCTGCTTCTGGCCCGGACACTCAGCGGAGAGGGAGGCAGTCCTAATGGAATGGAATGCTGCTGGCTTTCCTGCACCGAAAAAGTTTACATCTAGAAAGTCATTGAAACGTAACAAACTTCAGTTGGTCATAGTCATATCACCTTTTCTCCTTTTCGTCCCCTAACAAACCATGGGAATTCATATCGAAACCATATTTTAAATGAAGGACACATTCGAATATCATTCTACTGGAGTCAAATGGATAACAAAAGTAATTCCCCAATCAAAGACGTTCAGTCGCAAGGCGGTTTTCCTAACACTTGTCTGTAACCGTTCAGTATTGTTGGTGGAAATTATAAATAATGATTGCTGCTGTATCTCAACTGTAAAATCGAAATGGTTAGATTCACTGTAATGTCTTATTTTTAAAGGTGAAAGGTATTTCTTAGCCCTACAAAACACAAAACATCCTGAACGTTAAATGAAATTTTGGGCAAAAAGGCAAACTCAGCTCCATCATTCATTGAATCAGATGGCTCATTCAACTACTTTAATGATTTTTTTAATTCCAAAAATTTCCACACATAGGCATGGCATGCCAGCAACAAATGCTGACACTACACATCCAAGTATAACTGACCGAATTATGAAAGACAAGCATTGTAATTTTGAATTCCGTAAAGTGAGTGTGGAAGAAGTGAAAAAAGTATTGTTGTCTATCAACAATGACAAGCCACTGGGGTCTGACAACTTGGATGGAAGATTACTGAGGATAATAGCGGACGATATTGCCACATCTTCAATCTAAGCCTACTAGAAATTGTGTGCCCTCAAGCCTGGAGGGAAGGTAAAGTAATTCCACTACCCAAGAATAATAAAGCCCCCTTTACTGGCTCAAATAGCCGACTAATCAACCTGTAACCAACCCTTAGTAAACCTTTGATTGTCTGAGAGAAATGTATGATAAAATGACTGTGGGAGCTGTCTTGTTAGACTTCAGTGCAGCTTTTGACTATCGATCATAGTCTGCTGATGGAATAACTGATGTGTTATGGCTTTACACCCCCTGCTATATTGTGGATAAAGAGTTACCTGTCTAACAGAACACCGAGGAAGCTTCTCCAACATAATCCAGGTAGAATCAGGAATTCCCCAGGGCAGCTATCTAGGTCCCTTACTTCACAATCCCCAAGTCAAGAACAGACTATGGGAGGCGCACAGTACTCCATAGAGCAGGGGTTGACAACCTAATGCATGCATGCCAGCCTTGGCACGGCTTGGAAAGCCACCCAAAAAAAAAAAGATATCTATTTATTTTATTTTTTGGCGTGACGTGCTAAGCCTTGGCTGGACGTATGAGAATATAATTGAAATTGCATGCATTGGTTTCGAAATTGCATTGGTATTCACTGCAATGTTGTAGTTCCCAAGGTATGTCAAACCTGATTAGCCAATGGGCTTTCATGATTTTGCAGGAGTTTCATATTATTAGTTCAGTGCAAGACGACCCGCCTCACCTCTCCCGCCAAATTCAAAACCAAGGCAGCACTGAAGATGAGAGATTCGTTTTCACATGGCTAGGAGCTAGCAAGCCTTCTTTTGATATTTTAAAAAGTTCAGTTCGCAAAATGTCATCAGCAAAGAAAAATAAGGCAGATGTCCGCTCATTTATTGCCTCTTGGACAAAGGAATATAGATTTGTTTTACTGAAGGACCAGTCTGTTTGTGCTCTCTGTTGTAAAACTGTTGTTTGTCGGACATCAAATGTACGGCGTCATTTTGAAATGAAACATGAGAAAAACTTCAAGGATGAGGTGGACAAGGCTGACGGAATCAACAGGGCCATGTCCAGGTATGAAAAGCAAAGCGGTGTGTTTACAAATCTACATGCAGTCAAAAATCAAGCTACAGAGGGGAGCTACAAAGTTGTGCAATGCATTGCTAAACATTGAAAACCATTTACTAATGGGGAGTATGTCAAGGATGCTTTCCTTAGTAGTTCACAGACTTTTATTTGTTGGATTGCCTAACAAAGACAAAATAATCTCAAAGATAAAATACATGCCTGTGTCTGCCAGAACTGTTGAAAGGCGTGTTACCGAGATGGTTGAAAATGTAAAGGAGCAGCAAACTGTAGCGTTAAAAGATGCACCTGGTGTGGCTCTTGATGAGAGTGTGGATGTGAATGACATTCCATGTCTGGCAGTTGTTGCAAGATACTGTGACTCAGAGCAGGTACGTGAGGAGCTGCTGTGTCTAAAACCCATGCGTGGTACTACTAATGGGGAAGATGTAGCAAAAGCCTTCACAGATCATTTTGAGGAGAGAGGTGTCGATATTAAAAACATATTAGCTATTACAACTGACGGTGCCCCCCGCTATGGTGGGGAAACATAAAGGATTCGCAAAGCTGATTTTAAAATAAGATTGGCCACCCCGTGGTTAACTGCAGTGTTGGAAAAAGTACCCTATTGTCATACTTGAGTAAAAGTAAAGATGCCTTAATAGAAAATGACTCAAGTAAAAGTGAAATACTACTTGAGTAAAAGTCTAAAAGTATTTGGTTTTAAATATACTTAAGTATCAACAGTAAATGTAATTGCTAAAATATACTTCAGTATCAAAATAAAAAGTAAAAGTATAATTCATTTCAAATTCCTTATATTAAGTAAACCAGATGGCATTATTTTTTAATTTACAGATAACCAGGGGCACAACACTCAGACATAATTTACAAAGGAAGCATTTGTGTTTAGTGAATCCGCCAGATCAGGTAGTAGGGATGACCAGGGATGTTCTCTTGATAAGTGTGTGAATTGGACCATTTTCCTCTCCTGCTAAGCATTCAAAATGTAACAAGTACTTTTGGGTGTCAGGGAAATGTAGGGATTACAAAGTATATTATTTTCTTTAGGAATGTAGTGAAGTAAAAGTAAAAGTTGTCAAAAATATAAATAGTAAAGTACAGATACCAAAAATCAACTACTTAAGTAGTACTTTAAAGTATTTTTACTTAAGTACTTTACACCACTGGTTAAACGTCAGTGTATCATTCACCAAGATAATCTGTGTTCCAAGATCAAGCCCGTGGTGCTAATGGACAGAGCCTCTGTTTAGCGAGTTCGATGGAATTCTTCAGTTTGTGGGAAATTTAGATATTCAATAGACACAATTAGTTGTAATGCGCAATATGAAAATCATAACTGGCACGAAGATAGCTAGAAATGGTAGGATAAATTGTAAATTGGCGACCCCTGACATAGAGCCATGGCTACATGTACAGAGCCTTGCAAAAGTATTCATCCCCCTTTGGCGTTTTTCCTATGTTGTTGCATTACAACCTGTAATTTAAATAGATTTTTATTTGGATTTCATGTAATGGACTTGCACAAAATAGTCAACATTTTGGTGAAGTGAAATGAAAAAAAATTACTTCTTCCAGAGATTTGAGAGTGGGACGGAGGTTCACCTTCCAGCAGGACGATGACCCTAAGCATACTGCTAAAGCAACACTCGAGTGGTTTAAGGGGAAACATTTAAATGTCTTGGAATGGTCTAGTCAAAGCCCAGACCTCAATCCAATTGAGAATCTGTGGTATGACTTAAAGATTGCTGTACACCAGCGGAACCCATCCAACTTGAAGGAGCTGGAGCAGTTTTGCCTTGAAGAATGGGCAAAAATCCCAGTGGATAGATGTGCCAAGCGTATAGAGACATACCCCAAGAGACTTGCAGCTGTAATTGCTGCAAAAGGTGGCTCTAAAAAAAGTATTGGCTTTGGGGTGGTGAATAGTTATACGCGCTCAAGTTTTTAGTTTTTTTGTCTTATTTCTTGTTTGTTTCACAAAAAAAAGTATTTTGCATCTTCAAAGTGGTAGGCATGTTGTGTAAATCAAATGATACAAACCCCCCCCCAAAATCTATTTTAATTCCAAGTTGTAAGGCAACACACGATAAGACACTCACTCTACACACACGTGGATGTTGTATTGTAAATATGTGGTGGTGGAGTGGTGGCCTGAGGGAACACACTAAATGTTTGGGTAAGGTGTTTACAAAATGTAATGTCATGTAGTATTTTAAACTGTATGTAAACTATCTTACGTTGCTGGACCCCAGGAAGAGTAGCTGCTGTCAATAAATACATATACACAGTGGGGTGCAGGTTTTATTGTGAAGTTTTAATTTGACTTTTTCCACTTTGCGGGTATGGTGACACAACCTAAGTTGTTGCCTGTGGTTCTGAGATGGGTTTGATGTGGAATTAACTTCTAAGGCCGCACACAGGACTGCATCTCTCGCTCTCAGCATTATTCAGTGTGCCCTGGGAGAGGAACTCGGGTAGAGATTAAAGGAAGACAGGCGCCATGCAGGATGGACTCTCTGGGTTGAAATATGCAGCTCTGTAGAAACCCACTGAGGATACTAAACAGTCTGCCTCCCACACCTGAAGCGATGGCTCACCTTGTCCTCACCTCACTCAAACACCACACAGCACTTTACCATGGATAGACTTTACTCCATGGATAGATTTTTACCATGGATAGACTTTTACCATGGATAGACTTTACAATGGATAGCAAGTTGAGTTGTCACCTTATGAATATGATCTTATGAGACAGAATTGAGGGCAAAAGAGAGTAGTGCTGAGCGATTTAATTGACATTTTGGTTATTTTTCATTTTTTAAACAACTAATTGACCAACATCGTTTTTTTATTGTTCTGTGAATGAGTGTGCAGTTTCTCTAGAGATAAATCGGATCAAGCCTGAACTGTGCGACGTAGTTCCCTCTATTCCCTCTATTCCATCCACCCTCTATTCCCTCTATTCCATCCACCCTCTATTCCCTCTATTCCCTCTATTCCCTCTATTCCCTCTATTCCCTCCACCTTCTATTCCCTCTATTCCCTCTATTCCCTCCACCTTCTATTCCCTCCACCCTCTATTCCCTCTATTCCTTCCACCCTCTATTCCCTCTATTCCATCCACCCTCTATTCCCTCTATTCCCTCTATTCCCTCCACCCTCTATTCCCTCTATTCCCTCTATTCCCTCTATTCCTTCCACCCTCTATTCCCTCTATTCCATCCACCCTCTATTCCCTCTATTCCCTCTATTCCCTCCACCCTCTATTCCCTCTATTCCCTCTATTCCATCCACCCTCTATTCCCTCTATTCCCTCTATTCCATCCACCCTCTATTCCCTCTATTCCATCCACCCTCTATTCCCTCTATTCCCTCTATTCCATCCACCCTCTATTCCCTCTATTCCCTCTATTCCATCCACCCTCTATTCCCTCTATTCCCTCTATTCCCTCCACCCTCTATTCCCTCTATTCCCTCCACCTTCTATTTCCTCCACCCTTTATTCCCTCTATTCATTCCACCCTCTTTTCCCTCTATTTCCTCCACCCTCTATTCCCTCTATTCCTCCACCCTCTATTCCCTCTATTCTCCTCCAGCCTCTTTCCCCTCCAGCCTCTATTCACGTATTCCCTGGCAGGTGATATGGGTCATCAGTCACCATGGAGAAATGAGGACATAGAAGGGTCTGCGTGTACAGCTTGAACTCTGCAGTCAGTGTTCAGGGGTGTGTGTGTGTGTGTGTGTGGGCCCAGCGTCAGCCACGGCCACATTGTGGAGGACGTCAGGTAGAGCAGGAGAGCCTCATAATGAACCAGGGCTGAAGCACGCCGTCACAGCCGAGGAAAGCCGAGCCAACCACTCCCTTAAGAGCAGTTTGGCTCCACGCAACGTCTTCTGTCATGTACTTCTGCTCCCCGGTTCAACCATTAGCGAACACAGCTCTACCCCGAACACAGCGCCAATGTCGTTTAGCCTAGTCTCATTTGGCCGCATTGTTTGTTTTAGGCCTTTGTGTGTGTGTGTGTGTGTGTGTGTGTGTGTGTGTGTGTTTGTGGCGGGGGGGGGGGGGGGTCGGTGTGTGCCCTTCATGTTCCAATCGAAATCTAGAACATAACAAAAACATGTCAGAATTAAGTCTAATGTTGAAAGCCATACATACAGGTTTAAATAAACACAGTATGTGCAATATTGATTATTTGGTTATGGTAGAATACAATATTGAGGGATATACAGACAACAATATATAATGTTGATACCGAAATAGAGCTGGGACAGACTGAGAGAGGAGTTGCTGAAGATACAGCCAAACCATTGTGAGAATCCATAGTGAGTTGTCATAAACCGAGATTATAGTTTTCATAGTCAAGAGGAGCATCTGTCCTCTTTGGCTTAAGGTGCTGTTTGCGGGGGGCTGTGCAGGCTAAGATGGGATGCAGTATTGATAGTGTTGTGGCTGCTGCTATGCTCTGTGTCTGGAAGAGACTGCTGGAATATGAATGAGCCTTTAGGGCGGAGGAGAGAGCAGGGGTCTGGGGCTGAACAGCATGAGCGTGAGGAAATGGCGAGTGGAGCGCTAGGACGGGTTTCCCATAAATCCCAGGTCATGGCCATGCCAGTGTGATCTGAGGAAATGGCAGAGGGCAGGAGACACGCAGGTCCGTGTATTTGTTCCCGCCCGTATCCACCTCAAAGCATGTTCTGTATGCACTGTGTAGGCCTAGAGTTAGTGGATTGAGAATGAGATTGGCTGCCCAGTGATTCATTTCAATGCTCACAGTAATGGTGGCGTACAGCAATAACAGGGGATTGGATGGTGAGATGACGTGTAGGTCAATGCGAGGGGTTTTTAGTGTGAGAAGGCACAGTGTGGTTTCAGTACTGTAGCACTCAGAGGCTGTGCAGTGTGCAGCGTTAGCTTGTTAATTCTATTAGTGGCATCACAATACGTTTCTCAGATCGTGACCTTTTGTCCTTCTCTCTGCCATTCATACAGTCAGTATATCACCTCAACCATTTATTCTCACTTGTCATTTCTAGCTCCCTTCTCCTGTTTTTTCCGTTTCCTTGAGAGGACTGAGTATGAGACAGACAGAGGAAGGGAGGACGGGTTTCTTTCACTTTGAGGTTGGATGTGAGATAAGGGTGTAATGGCCAGTTGATCGTTAGGTTATAATGGTGGTCCTCTGTAGCTCAGCTGGTAGAGCACGGCGCTTGTAACGCCAAGGTAGTGGGTTCGATCCCCGGGACCACCAATACACAAAAATGTATGCATGCATGACTGTAAGTCGCTTTGGATAAAAGCGTCTGCTAAATGGCATATTATTATTATTATATTATTATATTATTATTATAATAATAATAATAATAATAAGGTTAAAGGGGAGGTGGCCACACTGTTTTCTGTTCTTTGGTATACTGTAGGTCTGATTGACTGGAGCTTTTATCTTGGTTGCCACACAGACATTTTACATGGAGACGTACAAATGTACAGGTAACTGCCAAAATAAAGGAAACACCAACATAAAGTATCTTAAAAGGGCGTTGGACCAGAACTAGTGTCTGGTCTAGGGTTGCAAAATTCCTGGAACTTTCAATAAATTCACTGGTTTACCCAAAATCCCGGTTGGAGGTTCACAGAATCATGAGGGAATAAGCAGGAAATCCGGAATCCTCCAACCAGAATTTCTGGAAATGTCCTGGAATTTTGCAACCCTACCTGTAACCCTATTGGAGGGATGCGACACCATTCTTCCACAAGAAATTACATCATTTGGTGTTTTGTTGATGGTGGTGGCAAATTCTGTCTCAGGCACCGCTCCAGAATCTCCCTGTTAGTGTTCAATTGGGTTGAGATCTGGTGACTGAGACGGCCATGACATATGGTTTACATCGTTTTCATGCTCATCAAAACATTTTAATGACCCCTTGTTCCCTGTGGATTAGGGCGTTGTCATCCTATGGGGCATAGCCATGGTAGCCAAAATAATGGCTATTTTATTTTGCCTGCCCAGCATTTTTATACATGATGGGATGTTAATTGCTTAATTAACTCAGGAACCACATCTATGTGGAAGCACCTGCTTTCAATATACTCTGTATCCCTAATTTACTCAAGTGTTTACATTATTTAGTAAGTTACATTTACATTTTAGTCATTTAGCAGACGCTCTTATCCAGAGCGACATACAGTTAGTGAGTGCATACATTTTCAAACTGGCCCCCCGTGGGAATTGAATCCACAACCCTGGCGTTGCAAGCGCCATGCTCTACCAACTGAGCTACACGGGGGCAGGGGACATGTTACCTGTGCATTCTTGATTACAAAGAACTATGAATAGCAAAATGTGTTTATGTATGAATGTTCTTTGCCACAATTGCACTAAAGAGCAGTTGACACAAGGCATTCAACACATGTCTTCACAGATGGGTTAAGGAAGCACACATCATCACATTTGATTAGCTCAATACTTTACACTTGCTTTCTTTCTGAACCATACGAACATATGAATTCACTATGCAAAGAAAATCCTTGAAAGCAGTGCTGGGAACTTCAATTTTCACTTCAGTGGCCTCAACTTTTCGAAAATTGGAAAGGAGTAGTTTGAGTACATTCAAGATTTAACCTTGACTAGTTGAGTGAATACAAAACTTGGAAGTTTGGCAGTGCACGATTCAATAATGGAGTCACACAATAATTGAAATGGAGAATGCCCCTCAAGGCTGATGTTATTTAAGCACGAGTAGTCTGGATGACAGTTGCCCAAGATCCATCATTGGCATGGACAGGAGAGCTCCTAGCGCGCCCTTAGTCATTAGCACACCATTCAAATCAAATGTTATTTGTCACATGCTTCGTAAACAACAGGTGTAGACCAACAGTGAAATGCTTACTTACGGGTGCTTTTCCAACAATGCAGAGATAAATATGTTTGTTTTATAGAAATAGTGACATGAGGAATAAATACAGAGTGAATAGTAATAAGTAAAATATAACATGGCTATATACATGGAGTACCTGGACCGAGTCGATGTGCAGGGGAACGAGGTAATTGAGGTAGCTATGTACATATACAGTGGGGAGAACAAGTATTTGATACACTGCCGATTTTGCAGGTTTTCCTACTTACAAAGCATGTAGTGGTCTGTAATTTTTATCATAGGTACACTTCAACTGTGAGAGACGGAATCTAAAACAAAAATCCAGAAAATCACATTGTATGATTTTTAAGTAATTCATTTGCATTTTATTGCATGACATAAGTATTTGATCACCTACCAACCAGTAAGAATTCCGGCTCTCACAGACCTGTTAGTTTTTCTTTAAGAAGCCCTCCCGTTCTCCACTCATTACCTGTATTAACTGCACCTGTTTGAACTCGTTACCTGTATAAAAGACACCTGTCCACACACTCAATCAAACAGACTCCAACCTCTCCACAATGGCCAAGACCAGAGAGCTGTGTAAGGACATCAGGGATAAAATTGTAGACCTGCACAAGGCTGGGATGGGCTACAGGACAATAGGCAAGCAGCTTGGTGAGAAGGCAACAACTGTTTACGCAATTATTAGAAAATGGAAGAAGTTCAAGATGACGGTCAATCACCCTCGGTCTGGGGCTCCATGCAAGATCGCACCTCGTGGGGCATCAATGGTCATGAGGAAGGTGAGGGATCAGCCCAGAACTACACGGCAGGACCTGGTCAATGACCTGAAGAGAGCTGGGACCACAGTCTCAAAGAAAACCATTAGTAACACACTACGCCGTCATGGATTAAAATCCTGCAGCGCACGCAAGGTCCCCCTGCTCAAGCCAGCGCATGTCCAGGCCCGTCTGAAGTTTGCCAATGACCATCTGGATGATCCAGAGGAGGAATGGGAGAAGGTCGTGTGGTCTGATGAGACAAAAATAGAGCTTTTTGGTCTAAACTCCACTCGCCGTGTTTGGAGGAAAAAGAAGGATGAGTACAACCCCAAGAACACCATCCCAACCGTGAAGCATGGAGGTGGAAACATCATTCTTTGGGGATGCTTTTCTGCAAAGGGGACAGGACGACTGCACCGTATTGAGGGGAGGATGGATGGGGCCATGTATCGCGAGATCTTGGCCAACAACCTCCTTCCCTCAGTAATAGCATTGAAGATGGGTCGTGGCTGGGTATTCCAGCATGACAACGACCCGAAACACACAGCCAGGGCAACTAAGGAGTGGCTCCGTAAGAAGCATCTCAAGGTCCTGGAGTGGCCTAGCCAGTCTCCAGACCTGAACCCAATAGAAAATCTTTGGAGGGAGCTGAAAGTCCGTATTGCCCAGCGACAGCCCCGAAACCTGAAGGATCTGGAGAAGGTCTGTATGGAGGAGTGGGCCAAAATCCCTGCTGCAGTGTGTGCAAACCTGGTCAAGACCTACAGGAAACGTATGATCTTTGTAATTGCAAACAAAGGTTTCTGTACCAAATATTAAGTTCTGCTTTTCTGATGTATCAAATACTTATGTCATGCAATAAAATGCAAATGAATTACTTAAAAATCATACAATGTGATTTTTCTGGATTTTTGTTTTAGATTCCGTCTCTCACAGTTGAAGTGTACCTATGATAAGAATTACAGACCTCTACATGCTTTGTAAGTAGGAAAACCTGCAAAATCGGCAGTGTATCAAATACTTGTTCTCCCCACTGTAGGTAGGGGTAAAGTGACTAGGCAACAGGATAGATAATATACAGTAGCAGGTGTGTGGTGTATGTGTGTGTAGAGTCCAGCGTGTGTGCATAGTCAGTGCCAGAGAGTTAATGCAAAAAAGGGTCAATGCAGGTAGCCCGGGTAGCCATTTGATGAGCTATTTAGCAGTCTTATTTAGTAGTCTTATGGCTTGGGGGTAGAAGCTGTTCAGGGTCCTGTTGGTGCCAGACTTGGTGCACTGGTACCGCTTGCCGTGCGTTAGCAGATAGAACAGTCCGTGGCTTGGGTGGCTGGAGTCTTTGACCATTTTTAGGGCCTTCCTCTGACACCGCCTGGTTTAGCGGTTATGGATGGCAAAGAGCTCAGCCCAAGTGATGTATGCACTACCCTCTGTAGCGCCTTGCGGTCAGATGTCAAGAAGTTGCCATACCAAGCGGTGATGCAGCCAGTCAAGATGCTCTCAATGGTTCAGCAGTATAACTTTTTGAGGATCTGAGGGCCCATGCCAAACATTTTCAGCCTCCTGAGGGGGAAGAGGCGTTGTTGTGCCTTCTTCACGAGTGTGTTGGTGTGTGTGGACCATGTTAGCTCCTTGAAAGCGGTCGCTCTAGCCTTTAGCTCAGTGCGTGTGATCCATGGCTTATAATAATAATAATATAATATGCCATTTAGCAGACGCTTTTATCCAAAGCGACTTACAGTCATACGTGCATACATTTTTTGTGTATGGGTGGTCCCGGGGATCGAACCCACTACCTTGGCGTTACAAGCGCCGTGCTCTACCAGCTGAGCTACAGAGGACCATGTACGGTCACTGTGGGGATGACATTGTCGATGCACTTATTAATGAAGCCGGTGACTGATATGGTAAACTCCTCAATGTTATCGGATGAATCCCGGAACATATTCCAGTCTGTGCTAGCAAAACAGTTCTGTAGCTTAGCATCCACTTCATTGGACCACTTTCATATTGAGTGCGTCACTGGTACTTCCTGTTTTGAGTTTTTGCTTGTAAGCAGGAATCAGGAGGATAGAGTTATGGTCTGATTTCCCAAAGGGAGGGCGAGGGAGAGCCTTGTATGCATTTCTGTGTGTAGAGTAAAGGTGATCATGCTGGTAAAAATGAGGTAAAACGGATTTCATTTTCTCTGCATTAAAATCACCGGCCACAGAAACGTGTGCATTTTCTTGTTTGCTTATGGCCCTATACAGCTGGTTGAGTGCAGATTATTTACCCTCTTGGTAAATCGTATGGTGTGCAGCTTATCATATAGTATTCTCAGGCGAGCAAAAACCTGAGACTTCCTTAACGTTAGAGGATGCGCACCAGCTGTTGTTAACACCCCTCCTCTCTTACCCGAGTCTGCCGTCTGGTCTTGACGATGCATAGAAAAACCAGCGAGATGTACAGTGCCAGAAAGTGTTCACACCCCTTGACTTTTTCCACATTTTGTTGTGTTACAGCCTGAATTTAAAATGGATTAAATTGAAAATGTGTATCACTGGCCTACACACAATACCCCAAAATGTCAAAGTGGAATTATGTTTTTCGAAAGCTTTACAAATGAATTAAAAATGAAAAGCTGAAATGTCTTGAGTCAATTAGTATTCAACCCCTTTGTTATGGCAAGCCTAAATACGTTCAGGAGTAAACATTTGCTTAATAAGTCACATAATAAGTTGCATGGACTCGCTCTATGTGCAATAATAGAGTTTAACATGATTTTTAAATGACTACCTCATCTCTGTACCGCACATATACAATTATCTGTAAGGACCCTCAGTCGAGCAGTGAATTTCAAACACAGAGCACCACTCTCCATATTTTCAAGCATAGTGGTGGCTGCATCATGTTAAACCTCCCGAGTGGCGCAGTGGTCTAAGGCACTGCATCGCAGTGCTTGCTGTGCCACTAGAGATCCTGGTTCGAATCCAGTCTCTGCTGTAGCCGGCTGCAACCGGGAGACCAATGGGGCGGCGCACAAGTCGTCCAGGGTAGGGGAGGGAATGGCCGGCAGGGAGGTAGCTCAGTTGGTAGAGCATGGCGTTTGCAACGCCAGGGTTGTGGGTTCGATTCCCACGGGGGGCCAGTATGAAAAAAAAAAAAATGAATAATGTATGCACTAACTGTAAGTCGCTCTGGATAAGAGCGTCTGCTAAATAATGTAAAAAAAATACAAAAAAAAACAATGTTATGGGTATGCTTGCAATCAATAAGGACTGGGGAGTTTAAGGACACAAAAACGGAATGGAGTTAAGCACAGGCAAAATTCTAGAGGAAAACTTGGTTCAGTCTGCTTTCCACCATACACTGGGAGATGAATTTACCTTTCAGCAGGACAATAACCTAAAACACAAGGCCAAATTAACTTTGGAGTTGCTTACCAAGAAGACAGTGAATGTTCCTGAGTGGCCGAGTTACAGTTTTGACTTAAATCTACTTGAAAATCTATGGCAAGACCCTGAAAGTTGTTATTTAGCAATGATCATCACCCAATTTGACAGAACTTGAAGAATTGAACGAATAATGGGCAAATGTTGCACAATTCAGGTGTGGAAAGCTCTTAGAGACTTACCCAGAAAGACTCGCAGCTGTAATCGCTGCCAAAGGTGCTTCTGCAAATTATTGACTCAGGGGTATGAATACTAATGTAAGTATTGCCTGCCTTTCTTTTGTCGTTTCCTCTTTCGAGTTCTGGGGATATGGGGCATTTTCATCCAAATCGAGGTTATTTATCGCTGTTCTGATGTCCAGAAGCTGTTTTCGGTCATAGGAAATGATGGTAGAGACATTATGTACAAACAAAGTTAAGATCAGCGTAAAAGAACACACAAAATATCAGAATTCCTGCTGGGGAACACTGGTTGGCACCATGAGTCTCCGTCAGTGCCTTTCTGAGGAGAGAGCAGGCAGTTCATCTATGTTTCCATGTAGCTCTGTGAGCAGGCCAGCCTGTGTCTCCTCAGGACTACGGAAGCCTCTTCCTCTGAGCAACGCTCTCTGGCTGCTTCTGCCTTACGTATGGCCATGCGGCATTGATATGGTTATCTGTTGAAGTACAGCATCGACAGAGGACTTGGCCGTGGGTCTTAATCTCTTCTCGGCCCTCTGGCCTTCCTGGCTCTACTGTCCCTGCAGTGTAGTGTTGTCTCCAACACAAGCCAGGATTTAGAACAAGAATTAGAGTTGTTCTGTCCTCCTCCAGATCTCTGCTATGAGCTAGCCTTAGTGGTACACCGGTTTACAGTGTGTCATTAAGATTAGCTGTATTTCATACATTTGGGCAATGGTTTGCTTATGGAGGCTCAGATCTTAGTCAGTGGTGCTTTTAGGGGAGACCTGGGTTGATTTAGCAATGAGCTATTTTTCATGCCAAGGGGAGGGAGCCAGTGTAATTCCAGCTCCATAGTGCGTTTCCTTGCATTTCCTGAGGCGCTATTAGCTTCCTGGGTCCCAGTCAGACCCCACACCAGGATTTCCATGGGTGCATGAACCTTAAATTAGCTTGGATTGGAAAATGAGCCAGCCGCTGAAAGAGGTAGGGTACAGTAGCCCTTAATGTCTTCGCCACAACTAAGCCCCTGTTGCTAAGATAATAAAAAAAAAAAAAAAGGTATTACTGGCTTTTTTCTTCCTCAAACTTTTCATATCTTTTCAGCCATTTCCTTGTCTGAACTCAGCTTTTTCTGAACAGAATGTAGCAACCTCAACTCCAACAAAATATGTTTAAATGAAGGGCTTGTGTTTAAATGAATGGTTTTTAGACCTTGTGATGTTCAACTCTGGCTCCAAAACATTTAAACACTGCTGCTACTGACTGGAATAAATTCCAACAGGATTTAAAACTCAACCAATTAATCTCCATCCCTAGTTTCATTAACAGTTTACATGACCTGGTTATCCACCCCATGACTGCTTTTAGAGTCAGTTGCTATTAGTTGTTTCCCCTGTTTTTTAACGCTATGTGTTGCAAATATGTATTTTTGCTTTTTCTGTTATTGCATGGAATTTTTAAGAGATGTCTAAAGTCGTCACCGGTCTGCTTTTCTGTACGGTTATTGGTCAGGCCGTTATTGTCATCACCTAATTTGCATATTTGGCAATGTGCATATAATTGTGATGAACGCTGTAGGAGAGAGGAATAACGTTGTGGGAGAGACAAAAAGTGAGTAAAAAACCCTACATTTACATCTCGCCCTGAATGTAAGCCAGGGCGGGATCAGCCAGCGACGGCTTCCCGCAAGCGCGATTCATTTGCAGTCTGGACGCGGAGGGGTGAACATCTCCTGCTCTGACTGCAGCTGGGAGGGACTGCTGCGTGAGGACTGGGCCACTTTGGGGTGGGGCCCACGGCAGCACCCGCTGCTCATTGAGAAGAGTAAGAACGATACGTGCTTTCACGTCAGAGTCTCCAAAAGTCTCCAATAACAACAGAAAAAGTTGCTAGATTTGTCGCTAGTCGCGTTTTTGAAAATGTGTCGCTAGAGGGGTCTGAATACTCGCTAAATTTAGCGACAAAGTCGCTAAGTTGGCAACACTGGCTCCTCATCTGAGAAGATAAAAAGAGAACACAGCAATATGTGACCCACCGCCTCGATTCGGTCCTATGTTGCAAAATTAGATTTTTTTATTTATTTTTTACATTGGATAAAAGTAGAGACTCAGAGCTACAAAATGGTATATCATACACTGCAGTTAAGGACCAATGCGGAAAGTAATTCTGCTTTGAAAGTTGATAAACTTGTAACCCCACTTTTAAGAAAATGGCCCTTCAATGTTTTGGTCGACCTACTGGAGAGCTCTTCTTTGTCTACACATATTCAACATTGTTCACACCCTCTTAACAACCAAAGATTTCAAGACTAATAGTGGTGAAAGTAGCAGCCTACAATAAGGAAGGCTCCAGGCAAAAATACACTTTATCTAATCCTTGGCCTATATCCTAATCCTTGGCCTATATCCTAATCCTTGGTCTATATCTTAATCCTTGGCCTGTATCCTAATCCTTGGCCTATATCCTAATCTTGGCCTATATCCTAATCTTGGCCTATATCCTAATCCTTGGCCTGTATCCTAATCCTTGGCCTGTATCCTAATCCTTGGCCTATATCCTAATCTTGGCCTATATCCTAATCTTGGCCTATATCCTAATCTTGGCCTATATCCTAATCTTGGCCTATATCCTAATCTTGGCCTATATCCTAATCTGACTTGTGTCCAGATAAAAATATTATATAAATATTTGTATAATTTTTAGATGATGCTTACCCAGACACTTGTCTAAATTGATGGGTCGTGTGAAATAAAAGCTATAACCACCCCCTAGCCACATCTAGCTAAGTGGATGGGTCACTATCGTCTAGACATGTACACATGTTCATGAAATACAATAGATGGCCGTAATCATGTACTCATTTTCTTGCGAAGTGGAGTCTTTTGTTTAGACATGTAGCTAGCTAGCTAATTAATGAATCATAATCCCAACCCATAGCTACAGTACAAACAAATTGGCATAGCTAGCCACCATCCATGGAATGCTGGAGTATGAATCTGCAGGTCCCCCTGCTCAAGAAAGCACAGAGACAGGGCCGTCTGAAGTTTGCCAATGAACATCTGAATGATTCAGAGGAGAACTGGGTGAAAGTGTTCGAGCTCTTTGGCATCAACTCAACTCGCCGTGTTTGGAGGAGGAGGAATGCTGCCTATGGTTTTGCCACCAAGTACTAAGTCATGTTTTGCAGAGGGGTCAAATACTTATTTCCCTCATTAAAATGCAAATCAATTTATAACATTTTTGACATGCATTTTTCTGGATTTTGTTGTTGTTATTCTGTCTCTCACTGTTCTAATAAACCTACCATAAAAATTATAGACTGATCATGTCTTTGTCAGTGGGCAAACGTACAAAATCAGCAGGGGATCAAATACTTTTTTTCCCTCACTGTAGCTAGACTCTTACCTGTATACATGGATGAATGTGTCTCTTCCATTTGGTTTGTTGCTAGCCACAGCTTGTTTGGCCCATTGTTGTGTCAAGTCACTCCAGTCAACGTTTGCATAAAGTAACGTTAGTCCATCACAACTTTTTCCCACTTTGTCAATAACGCCTGCTAAATTCTGGGCAGCAATGTTGTTGAGAGCATTAGCAACACTTTTCCAGTTCTTTATGGCTAACGTTATATCTACTACACATACTGAGCAGCTCATGTGAAAGACAGAACTCCTCTCTCGGCATGTTCAGCCCATCCATTATCTCAGCCAATCATGGCTAGTGGGAAGGTTCCTGTCTTTTTCCGTGGCTAAACCAACTAGGCTCGTAATTTTAACAATTGTATTCATATTTACAGATGGCATACAAGTTTGTTATTAAGGCACATCAAAGTTCACATGTTCCAGAAGGCATTTCTGCCAAAAGACGCATTTTGATAAAAAATGTAATACGTTCAAATGCCTCTCCTGTGATGTAGTGACGTGCGACATAGGCCCAGCTTCCTGAAACAAGTCACATATGACAGTGATGGTGGGAGCTGCTTCCTCATCTGAGAAGATAAGGGAACACAGCAATATGACAGTGACGGTGGGAGCTGCTTCCTCATCTGAGAAGATAAGGGAACACAGCAATATGACAGTGATGGTGGGAGCTGCTTCCTCATCTGAGAAGATAAGAGAACACAGCAATATGACAGTGACGGTGGGAGTGGAACCCCGATACAGTGATGGAGGACTCTGAGATCTCCATGGGGCTGGAGAGTACACTTAAGGAAACATACTCGAAGAGCAATCTCATTAATAAAAGAGTCCGAGACAGCTGCTCAACAATCAGGCGACGAGCAGGAGAAGAGACTCTGGCATGACCCTAATGGGCATCCATAAGGCTGGAAGTCCATCCCACAGACTCTGATCTGACTGAAAAGCAATGTGCCAACACGCTCTATGCAAAGTGACTGAGGATCAGAGAGCATGTTAAACGCAGCAACGAGGACATGATGGGGATGATCAATGTCACTGTGTGGACATGGACGAGAGAGATCAGACTCTGTACAGCTGATGGATATCAAAGATGTGCCATGATCACGGTTTGATAAGAACGTTTTTGCTCTATTTACCTAGGAAATTCAGATAAATGTATTTCTCTTTTGACATTGATTAGAACCAGGCATACCAAGTCTGAATCCCGCTGGATGTTCAGGCATAAGTGAAACCCATACGTAATTTATGCCTCCAAACTTCTCTCCCCTTCTGCGCCTTGTCTTTTTCTCTACTCAAATCAGGGAAAAATGCAGTGAAGCAAGAAAGGAACTCTGGGACAGAAAATGAAAAGAAACATATTCAATTTCATTACAGTTATGAGCTTTCATTAAGGTCTGTTCTCCTGTGTACCTGAGAATGGAAGTCGTTTCAGAGAAAGCGGCTGGGAGTCCTCCATTTCAGCTCAGTGGGGACTTTTCTTTGGAACAAAATCTCTGGCATTATTACTTATATTAACAACCCAGACTTGCCTACGGCTCTCCAGAATTTAGATTTGCGCTATAAGGCTCAGGTTGTTCTTTGTATCACTCTGAGAATAAATTGATTTTGTCACAGGAAATACTGGGTGGCTTTTTCAATCAATGCTACTCAGTTCAGCCAGCATTACTTATAGAAAAAAAAATATTATTGGGGGGGGGGGGAGAAAGCTCCAACACAAATGTCTTTCATCATGTTTGCCACTGGACACGGCCCGTATCATGTGCAGGTAGATCTGACAGACCTGGTCACCTCAGCTAACCCACTCATGTTATCGCTCTTTCAGACCACAAACACTCTTCTTGTCCTGGTCACCTCAGCTAACCCACTCATGTTATCGCTCTTTCAGACCACAAACACTCTGCCTGTCCTGGACATGCAGCTAATTTGCATATGCATAAGGCCATCAATCAGGACGTTTGAGAGGCCTGAAAGGAGACGAATGAAGTGATGTCGGTCTTGAATTGCTACGCCGTACCTGCTGGCATGCGAACAATGCTGTGTTGCCATAGAAACAGTTCTCTCTACAAATGACCTTGCCTCCTCCTCTCTTCTATTTCAGCACCTCGTTGAAAGGGGCTGTTGGCTCGCAGGGCCTGAGTGTTTGTTGATATGTAAATTGTGTGGACCAACACTGGGACTGAGGGAGATTCTGGGCCGTGACTAAAATGTGTTTTTTCAGGGAAATGACCTTGTCTTTCTCCCTCATTTAATAAATGGAAGCTTGGTGTCAAACATCTGGTCTGTATCATCAGTTTTGCACGCCTGTGTTTGCTATTCTGGTTAAAAGAGCTCAGTTGTTTTCAATTGAGAAATAGAGTGAAAAGGCTTTTGTGATATCACCATTATCATTCTAATGTTATAGTTTTTTTCCCCCCCACATATTAGTGTGTGTGAATAAGAACGCAGAGGTTTTTACAAATTACAACCATATTAGAGGAACATCCAGTTCGGTACAGTACAGAGAATCTTTGACTGATGGGAGAGTTGTGTATTTTTGCTTACCCACCCAGCCTACGCGGAGCTGGCCCCCATCGGCATCAGCTATTTCCTGTCAGGTATGCACTACACAGGTATGTGCCACAGTCACGCTGGACCAGTATCCCCTGCACCTGCCCTGGGGACATATACAAGTGTGACCCTCCTACTCTACCCCCTCTCTCTCTTACTGTACTTGTTGAGGAACAGTATAGAGCCCCTCCAGTGTCCCCGTCCCAAATAACCAAACCAACTCCCCTTACCCCTTCTGTGAGTGGATCCAGATACTCCTCTCACATTTAGTTGTTTTTGTTTTCGATAATGTTTACATTAATCGTGTTAATGTTTGTATCATGCCAGTGTTAAATGTTGTAATATTAAATACACGTCTTACCCCATACTAATATCTGATATTCACAATTATACAGGATGTCTGGCAATCTCAGGGATTTCGATCTGAGATTATGAGCTGTGTACAATCATCTCATATTTTGCTTGTCTATACAGTACACGCAGGTCCACATTGATCATGACTACTTTTCCTTTATGATTGATATATCCTTAATTGTACTGTGATACTACTCCTGATATCTTAAAGGCACAGTACAGTACACAACCCATGTTGTGTCCTTTCTAAAACTGTCCCTTTTAATGTTGTTCATCATTAATTCACTGCAGTTATCTAATGAGCTCTTTTTTATTACTTTAATTCCTACTTTTTAGCTGATTGCGTTGTTTCAGCGTTGTTTTAATTTAGTGCAGCAAAATCATATTGGTTGAACCTTCTTCCTGCTTATCCTGAAGCTGAAACCATTGCTGTTGTTCTTCTAATTTCAGGTCATTTGTTTTTAGCACTATTGTCCACTCTACACATTTTATTCACTTAGCAGACACTCTTATCCAGAGCGACTTACAGGAGGGTTAAGTGCCTTGCTCAAGGGCATATTGACAAACTTTTCCCCTTCGTTACTGGCCCAATTCTCTTAACCGCTAGGCTACCAGCCACCCTGCACAACTAGTTTGGATTACCCATAGGTCTTCCTCGGACTGGCTGTCTCAACACATAGTTAAAGTATCTTTATTAAGGGATTGTTGCAGCTATTATTTCTGTATCCATTACTCAGAACCGCCACCTTCTCCCGTCTGCCACCAACACACACACCTGGTGGTTGCTCCTGTGTGTTTGTGATTTGTTGTTTAGAGCAGAGTCGTATTCCATGTTATTGCTGATGCAGTCCTCTTGCCACGAAGCCACTCCCCCACTAGGGCTGTTACGTTGACCGTATTACTGCCACACCAGCAGTCAGGAGTTGTCACGGTAACTAGGCTTCTCCAAAACCGCGTTCTGATTCTGCTGATGGTCATTAGTAGCCTGCCAAACTTGCTAATGGCCAGACGCTAATGGCCGGTACTCTGCGCTCTATTGTCTCTCTAATCATTCTGACGTCAATGCAAATGCGATTTAAAAATCAAATCTAACACTTCATAAGAGCCTTGGCATTCAGAGTTTGAGCAGAATAGGAACAGTCTATGACTAGGGTGGCTGGAGTCTTTGACAATTTTGAGGGCCTTCCTCTGACACCGCCTGGTATAGAGGTCCTGGATGGCAGGAAGCTTGGCCCCAGTGATGTACTGGGCCGTACGCACTACCCTCTGTAGTGCCTTGCGGTCGGAGGCCAAGCAGTTGCCATACCAGGCGGTGATGCAACCAGTCAGGATGCTCTCGATGGTGCAGCTGTAGAATTTTTTGAGGATCTGAGGTCCCATGCCAAATTTTTTCAGTCTCCTGAGGGGGAATAGGCTTTGTCGTGCCCTCTTCACGACTGTCTTGGTGTGTTTGGACCATGATAGTTCGTTGGTGATGTGGACACCAAGGAACTTGAAGCTCTCAACCTGTTCCACTACAGCCCCGTCGATGAGAATGGGAGCGTGCTCAATCCTCTTTTTTTTTCCTGTAGTCCACAATCATCTCCTTTGTCTTGGTCACGTTGAGGGAGAGGTTGTTATCCTGGCACCACACAGCCAGGTCTCTGACCTCCTCCCTATAGGCTGTCTCATCGTTGTCAGTGATCAGGCCTATCACTGTGGTGTCGTCAGCAAACTTAATGATGGTGTTGGAGTCGTGCCTGGCCATGCAGTCATGGGTGAACAGGGAGTACAGGAGAGAACTGAGGACGCACCCCTGAGGGGCCCCCGTGTTGAGGATCAGCATGGCAGATGTGTTGTTACCTACCCTTACCACCTGCGGGCGGCCCGTCAGGAAGTCCAGGATCCAGTTGCAGAGGGAGGTGTTTAGTCCCAGGATCCTTAGCTTAGTGATGAGCTTTGAGGGCACTATGGTGTTGAATGCTGATCTGTAGTCAATGAATAGCATCCTCACGTAGGTGTTCCTCTTGTCCAGGTGGGAAAGGGCAGTGTGGAGTGCAATAGAGATTGCATCATCTGTGGATCTGTTGGGGCGATATGCAAATTGAGTGGGTCTAGGGTTTCTGGGATAATGGTGTTGATGTGAGCCATGACCAGCCTTTCAAAGCACTTCATGGCTACAGACGTCAGTGCTACGGGTCGGTAGTCATTTAGGCAGGTTATCTTAGTGTCCTTGGGCACGGGGACTATGGTAGTCTGCTTGAAACATGTTGGTATTACAGACTCAGTCAGGGACATGTTGAAAATGTCAGTGAAGACACTTGCCAGTTGGTCAGCACATGCTCGGAGTACACGTCCTGGTAATCCGTCTGGCCCTGCGGCCTTGTGAATGTTGACCTGCTTAAAAGTCTTACTCACATCGGCTACGGAGAGCGTGATCACATAGTGATCCGGAACTGCTGGTGCTCTCATGCATGCTTCAGTGTTGCTTGCCTCGAAGGGCTCGTCAAATTGTGAATGAGAGACTGATGAAGTGTGTGCAGCCTGCGCAAGAAACAGAGCAGAGCGCTTCCTTTTCATGCAACTTTTTTCTAATCATAATTCGTTGCATCATGCAGCATTAGAATGTATTCTAAATTAAAACATACAGCCCAATGTTTGTATCCCAACTGAAGTTGCATAAATAACTCTAAATTAAGCATATACAGTGAGGGGAAAAAAATATTTGATCCCCTGCTGATTTTGTACATTTGCCCACCGACAAAGAAATGATCAGTCTATAATTTTAATGGTAGGTTTATTTGAACAGTGAGAGACAGAATAACAACAACAAAATCCAGAAAAACGCATGTCAAAAATGTTATAAATTGATTTGCATTTTAATGAGGGAAATAAGTATTTGACCCCCTCTCAATCAGAAAGATTTCTGGCTCCCAGGTGTCTTTTATACAGGTAACGAGCTGAGATTAGGAGCACACTCTTAAAGGGAGTGCTCCTAATCTCAGTTTGTTACCTGTATAAAAGACACCTGTCCACAGAAGCAATCAATCAATCAGATTCCAAACTCTCCACCATGGCCAAGACCAAAGAGCTCTCCAAGGATGTCAGGGACAAGATTGTGGACCTACACAAGGCTGGAATGGGCTACAAGACCATCGCCAAGCAGCTTGGTGAGAATGTGACAACAGTTGGTGCGATTATTCGCAAATGGAAGAAACACAAAAGAACTGTCAATCTCCCTCGGCCTGGGGCACCATGCAAGATCTCACCTCGTGGAGTTGCAATGATCATGAGAACGGTGAGGAATCAGCCCAGAACTACACGGGAGGATCTTGTCAATGGACTGAAATCCTGCAGCGCCCGCAAGGTCCCCCTGCTCAAGAAAGCACATATACAGGGCCGTCTGAAGATTGCCAATGAACATCTGAATGATTCAGAATAGAACTGGGTGAAAGTGTTGTGGTCAGATGAGACCAAAATCAAGCTCTTTGGCATCAACTCAACTCGCCGTGTTTAGAGGAGGAGGAATGCTGCCTGTGACCCCAAGAACACCATCCCCACCGTCAAACATGGAGGTGGAAACATTATGCTTTGGGGGTGTTTTTCTGCTAAGGGGACAGGACAACTTCACCGCATCAAAGGGACGATGGACGGGGCCATGTAACGTCAAATCTTGGGTGAGAACCTCCTTCCCTCAGCCAGGGCATTGAAAATGAGTCGTGGATGGGTATTCCAGCATGACAATGACCCAAAACACACGGCCAAGGCAACAAAGGAGTGACTCTAGAAGAGGCACATTAAGGTCCTGGAGTGTCTTAGCCAGTCTCCAGACCTTAATCCCATAGAAAATCTGTGGAGGGAGCTGAAGGTTCGAGTTGCCACATGTCAGCCTCGAAACCTTAATGACTTGGAGAAGATCTGCAAAGAGGAGTGGAACAAAATCCCTCCTGAGATGTGTGCAAACCTGGTGGCCAACTACAAGAAACGTCTGACCTCTGTGATTGCCAACAAGGGTTTTGCCACCAAGTACTAAGTCATGTTTTGCAGAGGGGTCAAATACTTATTTCCCTCATTAAAATGCAAATCAATTTATAACATTTTTGACATGCGTTTTTTTCGGGATTATTTTGTTGTTTATCTGAATCTCACTGTTCAAATAAACCTACCATTAAAATTATAGACTGATCTTCTTTTTTTTTTTTAGATCAGCTTAATATTGCAGATAGATTGTAACTTCCATCAATGTAATTGTCTGCATCTCTTCCATTCCCCCATGTTTTTTTATATATATCCTCCCCTTTATTACTTTTCAACCACGCCATCCTTTCCCTACTTGGGGTAAATTATAGACTGATCATTTCTTTGTCAGTGGGCAAACGTACAAAATCAGCAGGGGATGAAATTATTTTTTCCCTCACTGTAGGAGGACCTGTTTCTTTGTTAAACGCTCAACACAGAATAGCCGTATGTGCGCACTCCCTCAAATCGTTTGGGGAAAAATATTATACTTTTTTAAATGCAGGTTTTCCTACTTACAAAGCATGTAGAGGTCTGTAATTTTTATCATAGGTACACTTCAACTGTGAGAGACGGAATCTAAAACAAAAATCCAGAAAATCACATTGTATGATTTTTAAGTTATTCATTTGCATTTTATTGCATGACATAAGTATTTGATACACCAGAAAAGCAGAACTTAATATTTGGTACAGAAACCTTTGTTTGCAATTACAGAGATCATATGTTTCCTGTAGGTCTTGACCAGGTTTGCACACACTGCAGCAGGGATTTTAGCCCACTCCTCCATAAAGACCTTCTCCAGATCCTTCAGGTTTCGGGACTGTCGCTGGGCAATACAGACTTTTAGCTCCCTCCAAAGATGTTCTATTGGGTTCAGGTCTGGATACTGGCTAGGCCACTCCAGGACCTTGAGATGCTTCTTACGGAGCCACTCCTTAGTTGCCCTGGCTGTGTGTTTCGGGTCGTTGTCATGCTGGAAGACCCAGCCACGACCCATCTTCAATGCTCTAACTGAGGGAAGGAGGTTGTTGGCCAAGATCTCGCGATACATGGTCCCATCCATCCTCCCCTCAATACGGTGCAGTCGTCCTGTCCCCTTTGCAGAAAAGCATCCCCAAAGAATTATGTTTTCATCTCCATGCTTCATGGTTGGGATGGTGTTCTTGGGGTTGTACTCATCCTTCTTCTTCCTCCAAACACGGCGAGTGGAGTTTAGACCAAAAAGCTCTATTTTTGTCTCATCAGACCACATGACCTTCTCCCATTCCTCCTCTGGATCATCCAGATGGTCATTGGCAAACTTCAGACGGGCCTGGACATGCGCTGGCTTGAGCAGGGGGACCTTGCGTGCGCTGCAGGATTTTAATCCATGACGGCGTAGTGTGTTCCTAATGGTTTTCTTTGAGACTGTGGTCCCAGCTCTCTTCAGGTCATTGACCAGGTCCTGCCGTGTAGTTCTGGGCTGATCCCTCACCTTCCTCATGATCATTGATGCCCCACGAGGTGAGATCTTGCGTGGAGCCCCAGACCGAGGGTGATTGACCGTCATCTTGAACTTCTTCCATTTTCTAATAATTACGCCAACAGTTGTTGCCTTCTCACCAAGCTGCTTGCCTATTGTCTTGTAGCCCATCCCAGCCTTGTGCAGGTCTACAATTGTATCCCTGATGTCCTTACACAGCTCTCTGGTCTTGGCCATTGTGGAGAGGTTGGAGTCTGTTTGATTGAGTGTGTGGACAGGTGTCTTTTATACAGGTAACGAGTTCAAACAGGTGCAGTTAATACAGATAATGAGTGGAGCACAGGAGGGCTTCTTAAAGAAAAACTAACAGGTCTGTGAGAGCCGGAATTCTTACTCGTTGGTAGGTGATCAAATACTTATGTCATGCAATAAAATGCAAATTAATTACTTAAATATCATACAATGTGATTTTCTGGATTTCCGTCTCTCACAGTTGAAGTGTACCTATGATAAAAATTACAGACCTCTACATGCTTTGTAAGTAGGAAAACCTGCAAAATCGGCAGTGTCAAATACTTGTTCTCCCCACTGTATTTGAATGACAATCACCAGCTGACAAAATGTAATGGCCACCACAGCCCTACCCCCCCACCCCCCTCAAACTTCATATAGTACTGTCGCTTTAAATATTATTTATTTGAAATCCTCCTCCTTCTCACCACGACGCTGCTTTATTCACCCTGGTTTTCACTTCCTCCTATACAAGCCATGGGGTATTTTGTCATATATCCTGGACCATTTGGTATATCATCTCATATCTCTCTTCTTGTGACACATCCACCGGTCAGCCAAATGTATCATAATGAAAATTACATCTCTGGTCCATTTCCCACCATTGATTTCAGTGCTTATCTTCAGATCTGCATAGTTGGTTTTACTCCTGGTTTTATTCCTGGAGTTTCTTTTAAAAATATATTATAATTTTTGTTTTAACTTTTTAAAGCTTTTTCTCCCCAATTGGTAGTTACAGTCTTGTCCCATCGCTGCAACTCCCGTACGGACTCGGGAGAGTTGAAGGTCGAGAGCCGTGTGTCCTCCGAAACACAACCCTGCCAAGCCACACTGCTTCCTGACACACTGCTCGCTTAACCCGGAAGCCAGCCGCACCAATGTGTCGGAGGAAACACCGTCCAGCTGGCGACCGTGTCAGCGTGCATGCGCCCGGCCCGCCACAGGAGGCTCTAGAGCGCGATTGGACAAGGACATCCCGGCCAAACCCTCCCCTAACCCGGACGAAGCTGGGCCAATTGTGCGCCTCCTCACGGGTCTCCCGGTCACGGCCGGCTGCGAGATCAAAACCCGAGTCTGTAGTGGCGCCTCAAGCACTGTGATGCAGTGCCTTAGACCGATACGCCACTCGGGAGGCCCCTATTCCTGGAGTTTCTAAAATAGCACTTTGTATATCGTCTGGGGACTGAGCTTGCATATGGTGCCCTTTTATCTGAGATGCTGTTTTTAAGGAAATGCAAACATTAACACACCTAAATGTCACTTCTCTTTTTATGCCTGCTCTAGCCTGCCAGTCCCAAGACATCTCCTAGAGTAATATGCCTGTGTTAACTGGGTTGTTGCTGTTCTCAGGGAGCTTCACGCTGGCGGAGCTGGGAGTGAGAGACCAACAAGCCCAGGCCCAGGCCCAGGCCCAGGCCCAGACTGCCTACCACTCCTCTCACTCGGAGCTGGGCCTGCTGCAGCAGGGCTACTCCCTCAGCGCCGGCTCCGATGCAGACTCCGACCCAGAGGGGGTCATGTCCCCGGAGCGCACCGTCCAGCTGTGGGGAGGTCACGCGATCAAGTCCCGCCGCAGCTCCGGCCTCTCCAGCAGGGCGAACTCAGCCCTCACACTCACCGACTCCGACAACGAACACAAGTCTGACGACGAGTCAGGTAGGACAGAGATGGGAGGAGAGATTGGGGGAGGGGCATAATAATGAAACCGAAAGGGAAATGTCGTGGGGGTGGGTGTCATGTAAAATTGACAGATACAAATAAACAGAGCTCCTTAGAAATGCACTTGCAGTTCAGAATTTTTGATGCACATGCTATTTTTCTTGACTTAAAATTCATGTCAGTGCTACCAAGCCAGTCTGGCTGAATGTCACTGAACACGGTCTCAGTAACTAAATTCACCAATTAGAAGCGTTTTTGGATGGACCCAGAGCATTGGAGCAATCAACACTGGCTCCAGATCAGGACTTTGATCAGATTAAGTCCTGGACACGATCTCTCCCACTGTGCTGAGTCAGTCAGTCAGCCATGCTTCTCTGCCTGGCATTGCACGCCCTTCTGATTTGACAGATCAGCTCTCTTCCTCCTTCTCTGCCTCTTCCTCCCTCTATCCCGCTGGCTTATCTTCTGCTAGCCGTCTCTCTGAAACCATCACCACAATCCGAGAGAGCGGGTCGCTGTAGAGAACTGCCAGTCCCCCCCCAGGACTCTTCTTCACTCCTCACTAACGTCCTTGTAGTATGCCTACTTGGATTTTTTTGATTGTTGCCAATGAGAATATTTATTTCAGTGAAATTGCAGTGTATACCACCTCTGGTCCCTTCTCTTCCATCTCTTCTCCGGGTGTTTACCTGGGCAACGGGGGGGTTTGTGAAGGTTTGTGTGTGAAATTATGTCTTTTTCTTGGCCCCCCTCACTGTGCACTCACAGAGGATGAGCTTGGCAGTAATGGCAGGCTTTAGAGGGGAGGTTTTGCAGTTGTATACTGTGATTAGTGTTTGAACACCTTGTCTACCTGATTATATACGTGGTTGTGTTTCTAATTTCTAGACAATGGAAGATGATCCCGTTTTTTTACTCTGTAGGTGTGGGAGCACGGGGGGACGCATGCTGTGGTCTCTCTGTAGGTGTGGGAGCACGGGGGACGCATGCTGTGGTCTCTCTGGGAGTGTGGGAGCACGGGGGGACGCATGCTGTGGTCTCTCTGTGAGTGTGGGAGCACGGGGGACATATGCTGTGGTCGCTCTGTAGGTGTGGGAGCACGGGGGGACGCATGCTGTGGTCTCTCTGTAGGTGTGGGAGCACGGGGGACGCATGCTGTGGTCTCTCTGTAGGTGTGGGAGCACGGAGGACGCATGCTGTGGTCTCTCTGTGAGTGTGGGAGCACGGGGGGACGCATGCTGTGGTCTCTCTGTAGGTGTGGGAGCACGGGGGGACGCATGCTGTGGTCTCTCTGTAGGTGTGGGAGCACGGGGGGACGCATGCTGTGGTCTCTCTGTGGGTGTGGGAGCACGGGGGACGCATGCTGTGGTCTCTCTGTGAGTGTGGGAGCACGGGGGGACGCATGCTGTGGTCTCTCTGTAGGTGTGGGAGCACGGGGGACGCATGCTGTGGTCTCTCTGTAGGTGTGGGAGCACGGGGGGATGCATGCTGTGGTCTCTCTGTAGGTGTGGGAGCACGGGGGGACGCATGCTGTGGTCTCTCTGTGGGTGTGGAAGCACGGGGGGACGCATGCTGTGGTCTCTCTGTAGGTGTGGGAGCACGGAGGACGCATGCTGTGGTCTCTCTGTGAGTGTGGGAGCACGGGGGACGCATGCTGTGGTCTCTCTGTAGGTGTGGGAGCACGGAGGACGCATGCTGTGGTCTCTCTGTGAGTGTGGGAGCACGGGGGGACGCATGCTGTGGTCTCTCTGTAGGTGTGGGAGCACGGGGGACGCATGCTGTGGTCGCTCTGTGAGTGTGGGAGCACGGGGGACGCATGCTGTGGTCTCTCTGTGGGTGTGGGAGCACGGGGGGACGCATGCTGTGGTCTCTCTGTAGGTGTGGGAGCACGGAGGACGCATGCTGTGGTCTCTCTGTGAGTGTGGGAGCACGGGGGACGCATGCTGTGGTCTCTCTGTAGGTGTGGGAGCACGGAGGACGCATGCTGTGGTCTCTCTGTGAGTGTGGGAGCACGGGGGGACGCATGCTGTGGTCTCTCTGTAGGTGTGGGAGCACGGGGGACGCATGCTGTGGTCGCTCTGTGAGTGTGGGAGCACGGGGGACGCATGCTGTGGTCTCTCTGTGGGTGTGGGAGCACGGGGGGACGCATGCTGTGGTCTCTCTGTAGGTGTGGGAGCATGGGGGACGCATGCTGTGGTCTCTCTGGGATTGTGGGAGCATGGGGGACGCATGCTGTGGTCTCTCTGTAGGTGTGGGAGCACGGAGGACGCATGCTGTGGTCTCTCTGTAGGTGTGGGAGCACGGGAGACGCATGCTGTGGTCCCTCTGTGGGTGTGGGAGCACGGGAGACGCATGCTGTGGTCTCTCTGTAGGTGTGGGAGCACGGGGGACGCATGCTGTGGTCCCTCTGTGGGTGTGGGAGCACAGGGGGACGCATGCTGTGGTCTCTCTGTAGGTGTGGGAGCACGGGAGACGCATGCTGTGGTCTCTCTATAGGTGTCACAACTCACTAACAATAGCGCTGCCCGGCTCACGCTGCGAGTGGCGTGGTGCTGATTTCCACTGAGAATCATCTGCATTGTTTGCAGTTCAAATATGTGTCAGGGAGCGCTCACAAACCTTTGGAGCCTGCCTTTGTTTGTTTGTTTGTTTTCTGTGTGAAGGGGGCGGGGGCGGCAAGTAGCTTAGCGGTTAAGAGCGTTTGGACAGTAACCGAAAAGTCGCTGGTTTGAATCTCCAGGTGTGAAATCTGCCGATGTGCCCTTGAGCAAGACACTTAATCCTAATTGCTCCTGTAAATTACTCCGGATAAGAGTGTCTGCTAAATGACTAAAATGTCAAATGAAAGCCAGAAATGAAATCCCTGCGTTCTGCCACCACCCTCGCCTCGAAGCTTAGAGAAGAACCCCATGCTTATCCTTCAAGAAGGCCACGGCTCTGCGTGATCCATTTTATAGTGCCTTTTGAATAAATTGGTTCGTAAAGTGTTTGTTTAGATTGAGTTAAGTGTGCCCGCATCAAGACTCCAGACACTAATGTATTCTCACCATGGGAGCTAATTAATTAAGGACAGCGAAGCGAGCGCTCGAGTTGATCAAGAGACTACGGGATGACTGACTAGAGCTAGCAGAAGAGTGTAGGGCGCTGTGTTTGTCCTGTGGACGAGGCAAAGCAGGGCGAGGGTGGCTCCGTCTCTCTCGGTTCTGTTCATTATCACCTTATTGTGTTTCATGGTTGTTCTTGGGTCAGGGGTGCCTCTTGGCGAGCAGAGCAGAACTGAATCACTGCGCTGTCGTCAGCATGCCCAGCGACTGACTCCCACCATGCCCAGGGACTGACTCCCACCATGCCCAGGGACTGACTCCCAGCATGCCCAGGGACTGACTCCCAGCATGCCCAGGGACTGACTCCCAGCATGCCCAGCGACTGACTCCCAGCATGCCCAGCGACTGACTCCCAGCATGCCCAGCGACTGACTCCCAGCATGCCCAGCGACTGACTCCCAGCATGCCCAGCGACTGACTCCCAGCATGCCCAGCGACTGACTCCCAGCATGCCCAGCGACTGACTCCCAGCATGCCCAGCGACTGACTCCCAGCATGCCCAGGGGCTTACTCCCAGCATGCCCAGCGACTGACTCCCAGCATGCCCAGCGACTGACTCCCAGCATGCCCAGGGACTTACTCCCAGCATGCCCAGCGACTGACTCCCATTGACTCCCCTTCATCTGGCCTGTCAGAGTGTCTCAGACTTCTGAGAGCCTTCTACCTCCTCCACAACGCCTGCTGCCTCGCTCTCCCCCGCTGCCTTCTGGGAGATAGGTCCCTTCACGCACGCCACAGCGGAATAGAAAACAATGGTTTTATTAGCATCCCGGCACTCATTAAAGCAGTAGGATTTGTCTCTTATTTGTTGTATTGAATGTCTTTGAAGTTGATATCTGACTAGAGTCACAATGCACTGGTACAGAGGACATTATCCACAGGGTAATGGCAGACAGAGACTTCTGAAAAAAATAATTGTCAATATAGAATACAACTTGGTAGGAGACAAGAAAGTTTGTGAATGGCTGAAAACATTATATGAATTGATTTAATGCTAATCCACTGGCGGGGAGTATTAGGGGTTGTGCAGTGATCATTTCACTTACTGCCATGCTTATGTAATTAGAGAGAGTGTCAACTACAGTAGCATACAGTCGATTCCACAGGTGTATCCCATCAACACACAGTAGACTACAGCAGTGTTTCAGTTTGTTATTTAATAGATTCCACACGTCCATATTATAGCATAGATTCCATGGGTTAGAAATTCGGCACATGTAGCTGTATGTTGGTGGACATATTCATCATTTATGTCGGAATTCATTGAGGAAAATGCTAGTGGGAGATTGACAGGTGGATTCCTATCTCTCCAGTTATAATATAATCACACATTTCACTGGCATCCCATATCTCATTAACAAACATCAATCTAATTATGAAGAGATTTGTTGAATTTGACAACTAGGGTGTGTGTACCTTCTGCCTGCCTGTATCCCCCTCTAAATCTCTACATTGTCACTTAGATTGTTAAATTAATGGAAATGAACATGTCTGTCTGTCTGTCAGTAATTGAAAATGATGGGGCAAGTGGGCAACCATTAGTTCTGAAGTAAAATGTTAGCTATGGTTTCCAGGACAACCATCCTCCTTGAAACAACATTGGGGGGTGGGGGAGGGGGGGTCTATTTCCTGTAATGTTCAAAAACCAAAATTCATCCCCACTCATGTTAATGATGTCTCAGGTTGCCATAGGTGATGAGGCTTGGTTGTCTCAGGTTGCCATAGGTGATGAGGCTTGGTTGTCTCAGGTTGCCATAGGTGATGATGCTCGGTTGTCTCAGGTTGCCATAGGTGATGAGGCTTGGTTGTTTCCCAGCGTCATGCCAATAGTAGTGTACGACTACGGCGCTGGAAGAAAGGCTGCGGACTGTAGTACACTGTTGTTGGATTATAGCACAACACCACTGAAAGATTTGTCATATGTTGGCCCCAAA